GCGGGCGGACAGGGCTCCCCGGGGGGTGCGAGTGGGCCGAGGCGCCTCTGGGGTGGGCTGTTTGTTTCCCCGCGGGAGGACGGGCAGCCCGGTCTGTGTGCAGAGGCGTAACTGGGGTCGTAGAGCTGCTCGATGCTGGAAATGCAGACGCTTGACTTGTGTTCAAGCCGTGGGTCCGGCGCGCCGACCCGCGGAAGCTCCGCTCACCCGGCGGCGTTCGGCGGGAGCGCAGCCGTTGCCCCCTTCCCCAGCAGCCAGGCGACTGCCCCGGAACGGGACGGGTGTGCTCTCACGGACCTGCGAAGGCTGTCGGTGAACAGCTGCTGGGGTGTAAGCGATGTGCTTGGCAGCCCCTGCAGCGCTGATCCGGTCCGATGGTGCTGCAAACAGTTGTTGCCGAGAAACGGATGTTTCTGTCCGGGCTGTAAGAGACAAAGCTCTGCCAAAGAGGTGCTTTATATCCCCCTGCTGATTCTAACCTCAGTGCTGGTAATCTTGCACTTAAGTGTTCGGTTGTTCTCATCTCATTAGCTGATGCACCTTAATGTGAGGGGTGCTTCCAGCCGCAGGCTGTGTCCCTTAATGCTCGCATCTGCTTGGCAGAGCAACTCATCCTATGCTTTGTCTTCTCTCTTCAAAGCCTGAAGAGGACCAGAAGCTGATTTATTCTGGGAAGCTGCTGCTTGATCATCATTGTCTGGGAGAGTTGCTGCCAAAGGTATAAAAAAACCTTTTATGATGTGCTGCAATATATAAAGAAAAATGGGTGGTCTTTTGGGTTTTTTTACAATGTCTTCCCTTTTATTTTAGCAGGGGGAGTTGCATGCTCTTCATTTGGTATACAGCTTCAAGTCTCCTGCAGATGTGCAAGGAGCCAGTGCAGAGGTACTCACACTAATTTGAATCTTGGGGTTGTGACTAAAAATAGGAAGTACTGAAAGGCTATTTTAAAGTTCACTGAAACCACAGCTTTTTCCTGCTGGTGCAATGGCCGTATTACTTTGATAATTTGGTTAGGAATGTGAGAATGTATTTGGATTAAGCTGAGTAAAAAAAGTTGATCCTGTGGTTCATCAGTAAAGATTCTCATGGCACCTGTTAAGAAATCCTAGTTCTAACATGCTGCTCAGAGGACACTTTCTGGTGAATTCAGTTTTATTAAACAGAATGTAATTTGTGTCCCAGGCTCTTGGACAGAGGTGCAAGAGGTGGTAGGTAGTGGAAGCGGTTCGAATCTGTATTGGGTGTGTGGAGAAGGAAGAAGGTGGTTGGCTGAAGATGCTTTAACTGCTCTTGTTCATGGCTCAGCCTGTAGAGAGGAAGCCAGAGATGAGCCTTGCTGCTTGAGCTAAGTACGTAGTCTTAAGTGCAAACAGCCAAAACCAGTTTTTACTTTGAAGTGGATCTGTTAATGTGTCTAAAGGTGTGTATATTGCCCAGTATAGGCAATTTGAGCTTATCCCACCTTTATCTTGCGTTTTCTAGATGTGAGCCAGCTTATTCTTGATCTTACACAGGGATATCACCACAAAACCACTTGTGAACTGTGCGCAGCAGTCTGCGTACGCAAGTACGAGCTCTTTGTAGCGAGGAAGTCGGACTGCCTTGAGTGCAGTTCCTTCTTTCTTCCAATTACATTTTTATAGCTAGATGGGACCTGGCTATATTAAAATTATAAATTATAAAATACTGCTGTAGATCTGATGAAAATTAAGAGTAATGTTAAGTAACTTGATGGAGGTGCTTGTAGGATGGTGCCCAAGAGCGCTGTCCGTACTGGTAGAGCCTAGAGGGACTGTGCAGGACAAAGTGATGAACTGTGTAGCTGTTGTGAAATAAGAGCCTGGCCAGTGTGGTGTAGCCCTTTTTGCATGAGGCTTGTACAGTGTCCTGAATAAACATTACTAACTGCATTGCTGTCCCTAGGTTAAGGCTGATCAGCCAAAGTCATTGTCAGAAGATAGACAGGAATCGCCTGTATCTTCCTCAGATGGTGAAAGACTGAGATGCTCTTCTGGTGGCCAGTCTTTGGCAGAAGATGGAAACAGGTAAATAGAATTATTACATAAAGCAACATTTTAAAAGTCTGATTTTGTGTTGGATGCCTGCCTCTTGTGCTGCATATACTGCCTTAAGTCCATAGGATGTGGGCCAAAGGGGAAGAGGATGTGTAGAAGCTTTAGTGGACATGTAAAGAAGCTAAAGAAAAATTCACTGTTCTCTTAGTTGAAAACATTCCCTTTATTCATGTGGGTGAAGAGATGACTTTAATACTTTAGAAGGAAGAATTAATTTTGCATTTGGATGCACAAATAGCAGAAGCTATTTACACTGTCCTGCAGTAAACGACTCATGCAGTTTATCTAGTATTTACTAATGAATGTGTTCAAACTTTGACCAAGGCCCGAAACAACTCGGCATCCCTTCCAGAGTGTGGCTCCTGGCTTCTCTCCTTATACGACCTACAGCATGCTTCAGATGTCCTGGTTTCAGCAGATGTATGCAAGGCAGTATTACATGCAATAGTAAGTGTCTGTCCAAAGCTGTCAGTAAAGTAGAAACTGTAACATAAGGAAATGGAAAGCTTCTGGCTGTTCTTCTGGTGTGGTGTGGCTGGAAGATGTTTGTTGTAATTTCTGCAGAACGCTGTGGGAATGTACCTCTGTCACGTGGTGCTTGGTTTGCTGTTCAGGCTAGTGCTTTTGAGTCTTGCAGACTGCAGATGTGACTCTCGATTGGGGGAGCAGGTGTCTGTAGAGGAAGCATAATCCTGCTGATAAATCATAGCTCGTCACCATTTTTTTAACATCTTAAAGTAGCACACAGAGCACTGACTGGAAATGGGTGACAAAGGCTAAGTTCAGATCACTCTACAGAATTTTTCTGTCAAGTGTTGAAGTTACTGTTTATGAAGTGGAAAGTGCCTGCTTTAACTTGCTGAAGTCATTCTGCAGTTGTCATGGGTAGAACTAAAACTTGGTTTTAACCTTTCTGTAACTCGGTGCTTTCTGCTTGCGTGTGATCCGATTCTACATTTAAGATGGATAAATTTTCAGTGCCTCTGTTAAGGCTTGGTCAGACCCTTTCACACTTATTCTGTACTTTGCATTCTCTGGTTTCAGCTTGGCTTCTACTGCTGCATCTGCTGACCCATCCCATACACGCCGTTCTCAGGAGATACCTGTGGCACCCCCAGCTCCTCTCCCAGACCCATTTCCTGCACAAAATCAGCCTGGAAATCCGAACCCCGCTGCCCAGGTTAATGCAGCGGCCAACCAGAACTTGCGGATGAACGCCCAAGGGGGTCCCCTCATGGAGGAACAGGAGGAGGGTGGCAATCGAGACTGGTTGGACTGGCTCTACTCGGCTACGCTGTTCTATGTCTTTGTCAACATCATCTATTTCTACTCCAGTGTCAGCAGATTCCTCCTGGTTATGGGTGGCACTGTTCTGATGTACCTGTAAGTGTATGGAACTAACGTTTACTGTTGTGCTCGGAGATGTTGCACTGAGCTCTGCACTGTGGTCAGCTTTCTGGCATTTGAGCTTCATGCCTCTTGCATCTGGAAAGGATGAAGTACTCTGTCCTGGTGTAACCTGGTATTTGGCAAAGACTGAAGTACAGTCTGTGCCTGGATTAAATGTAGAATGCATGAGTAGTGTTTTTTGTACTAATGCTTCTGGTGTGGCTGGCTGTCTTCTCAGAAAATCACTTGAAACTGAAGTATCTCTTGGTGTAAAGCCCCAGCACCTTGGCAGCATAAAGTAGACTGTAGGTTTGATGTAGTATGTGACAGTTTATTGGAAAACAGGGGTGGGGAGTCTGGGAAGAGGGTCTCACATGTCAAGTCATGTACCTGTGCAGGCTTTTCTGCTGTTACCTCTCTGGAGGGCAGACAAAGCTAAACTGGAGGTTTGAATTGTGTCCTGAATTGCCCTTGAGCCTTTTGGAGGGGGGTGTGGGGTGTTTGTGTGTGAAACTTGGAATAAATCTTAGAAGCACAATAAAGATAATGAGCCTTTGGTTGATCTGCTTGGGATGTACTGCCTGACATGTCCCCTCAGATTCTTTGATAACGAGTGAAACAAGACGTAGGCCTCTATTCCTGTTGGTAGGTCTAGAACTTGAAGCTGGAGCAGCTCAAATGATCAGCTCTAGCAGCATGCTGCAGTAGGCTCAGCTGTGATTATGTGGATGTAGTGATGTTTGTTTTGAATGTGAGCAGATGCTGGTCTTCCCCTCTTGCCTCGTGGTTTGCTGCTAACAGGAGGCTTTGCCAGTAATCATTGGGTCAGGGCAGAAGAGACCTTAATGTGCATCTCTGAGCAGTCACGTGTTGCTTGAACTGTGTTGGTGTAATGTGGAGGGGTCTTTTAACCAATACTGATAGAACTCTGTTGGCTTCCCCAGGCACCATGTCGGGTGGCTTCCATTTAGACGAAGACCAGTCCAGCCCTTGCCAGGCAATGCTCCTCCTCAAGCTGTGATAAACCAGGACCAGAACAATAACCTACAGGTACTGTCTTGGTATTTTTTAAAACAATGAGCATGAAACCCTGTGAAGTTTAACTCATTAAGTGTGGTAGGAAAAATTATTCCATTAACTTTCATCAGTCTTCCATGGGGAATAACTGCCAGTCTGCATCCTCCTTTGTAGCCAACTCCTCTGTTCTACAAATGATCTCAGGCTGAATGTTATCTTAGTTGTTCCTGGCTTTAGGATGCTGTAATGCAGAGAGTGATCTGCCCCAGGCTGAACACGTTCCATGTCTGAAGATGGTGCTTGGACTACTGTGATAGGATTTAAGTACATAGGCAGTCAGTGTCTTGCGTTTCAAGCTGACACTTCCGCCTGATGTCAGTGGAAGTCACTTGTAAATACATACATAGTTTACCTGGTCAGGTGCATCATGCCTGTCCTAAGCAGTGTTCTTGAGCAGAGTGTGGGTTAAGCAACAACACTGCAGCTTGTTTTCAGCTTTGTGGTTGTCTGGGGATACTTGCATGCCTCTTACCTAGATTTCACTGTCAGGATGTAACAACATGCTGGCTTACACCTGATTCTAACTCACTTCTGCAATGATCTCACCAGATAGCCTTTGTTTTGGCAGGGGGGAAATGCTGGCAGAGTGGATGAATCTGAGGCGCCTGCTGATGAGGGACAAGTTTTACAAGAACTGCAGCAGGACAACCCCTCCATTATGAGCACAGCATGGGTATTTTTCAAGACTTTCTTTGCATCCCTCCTTCCAGAAGGGCCTGGAGTGACCCGCAACTGACTTGTCACCGCTCTACTCGTCTGAAACTACAATGGGCTTTGGTCTACCTGAGCAAATCGAATACCAGCTCCAAACCAGGAGTGGAAGTGCATGGCATTTCCTCTGGCTTTCACTGACCAGCAGACAGAGCTGAAAGAAGCCTTAAATCATTACAGCCTAGAGACTGAGATGCTTGCCATCATTCCAAAGGACTTTGTTCTGTAGCATTTCTTTAGGTACCTATGTAGAGGCTTGGCATTGTGAACTTGTGCAGTAAGTGCACAGGCTCTAAGCAGGTGTGCAAAAATGTTAGAGAAGCAAATTGCTTCTGTGCAATGTGATTCCTGTTGGAATGTTTTCAAACGCTTTTTAAATTACACTGAGTGTAGGATCTTAAAATAAATTGCTAGGTGTGCATTAGCAGACTTTTAGGAAAGATCTATTGTTAAATTGCTTCAACAATAGTTTAAATTTTCTGTGTAAATATTTTCCTATGAAGGATGTATGGTGCAATTTCCTTGTTGGATAAAGTGGAGGACTATGAGTCACCTCTTGATAAGCAATTACCTCAGTGGAAGTTGCAGGCTAAATTTCACGTTGCCAAATTCAGATACTTTAAACTCGAGGCTTAATTTCCCATCTGCCAAATCATGGGAGAAGAGTAAGTGTTTAGCTCTGTCTAGAAAGAATTTTATGCAAGATGTAAACTTCACTGCCTTTGGATGCAAAGTTAAAGCACTTTAATGCCTGTATTCAACTTTGATGCATTCTTACTCCAGAGCAGCTCTCATGTTAATTCATTCTGTTCCTTTTCATTTCTGATATGGTTAAGGGCTTTGATTCCAATAAAATGGGGCATTTATATCCATACTTGTATCCTTGCCTGCTGTACAGTGTACATCTGTGCAAAGCACAGGATGTGCTCTCAGCTTGTTTTTAATGAAAAATAAGTGGGTTGGGATATGAGGGAAGTGATGCTCATAGAGCCTTAAACTCAGCTCCTTGCCTAGTTGTATTCTTCAGCAACCTGTATTTAAAGGTGCCTTGGAGAGCTTGCAGCTTGTTTGCTCACTGAAAGCTGCTGGTCCAAATGCCGGGGATGTCTCGAAGCGGGTAATGCTGCAGGTATTTGGAAAGTCCAAGGTTTGACCCTGAGCCCAGTGTGTGACTTGTGGCTTTGCAACGCATTATCTTGGCTTGAAATGTGCTGTCTGGGGACAACAGCTACTACTGAAACTTGTAATGTTTTCCTCCATGCTACCCGCAGTTGGCAAATCTGTTCAGGAGTGTCTCGTCAGGGCCAACGTGTGTGAGTAGGTATGAGCAGTTGTAACAGCCAAACTGGTAATGCTGGGTCTTGCCACTGCAGCTCAGACTGATGTTACAGTTGATGTTAGACTTGCTGCCACAGGTAATCTTAGTGGTGGGGTTTTTTGGCTTTGAATCATTTCCTTTCCAAACCTCTTACCAAGTAGTTTTACTGCCACATCTTCATTTTGCTGGAGATTGGGGGAGGATGGGTAGGACAGAGTGGTAAAATTTAACAATAAATTCTTCTGTTAAGTACTTCATTTTACCTAACAACTCGCCCTACTTGTATGTTATTGTGTATATTCTGCATAAGGATGTTGTCAGTGGTATCCCCTCTTTCTTGTCCCATTAGGGGTAAATTTGCTGATGCTGGGCACTGCATTTTGTGGAAAAGGGATTTTTTTTTTTTTTTCTTCAGGGTGTAGCTAACTGTTGCTCATGTGTTTCAGCAATGTGCTTAAATCAACTGAGATATGCCTGGCCCAGCTGTGGGAGGAAAGAGTACTTCCTGGCAGCCAGAAATAAACTGGTTTGGTACTGCTTTAGGCAACAAGCACTGGGTGCTGGATTACTTGTGAAACAGCTAATCTGAGAGTTTACTGAAGACAGCAAAACATCTGTTTTGTCTTGAGGTTTTTACTACTCCCACAAGCAGGTAGAGTGGTTTTAAATTAGCTGGAAAGCCAATTAAGTCTAGCAAAAGTCCCTGGGGGGGATGTAGGGAGGCTCCTGGGCTGTAGAGAATGTTTCCTTAATGGCTTAGTGAAATGTGTGCCTCTGTTTGTGGGGGGGAAACTGTGACTCCAGCAGAGGACACTGAGCAAATAGCGTGAGTATATCCTGTGTCATTCTGCAGAGACAGCTGCCAGTGCTGTAAAGTGAATTTTTCCTCGAGTTCAATCTGTTCTGCCTGTGATGGCAACTGCCAGTGGCCTCTCCCTCTCCTTACCTTGACCCATGAGCCTTTAATTATATTTTTCTCTCCCGGGGGGAAACTGTGACTCCAGCAGAGGACACTGAGCAAATAGCGTGAGTATATCCTGTGTCATTCTGCAGAGACAGCTGCCAGTGCTGTAAAGTGAATTTTTCCTCGAGTTCAATCTGTTCTGCCTGTGATGGCAACTGCCAGTGGCCTCTCCCTCTCCTTACCTTGACCCATGAGCCTTTAATTATATTTTTCTCTCCCCTGCCCAGCTGAGGAGTGATGGAGTGGCTTTGGTGGGCACCTGGCCTCCAGCCAAGTCAACCCAGCACAAGAGCTTAAGAATCCCAGAGGTTTTCTGGGAATAATGACCCTGTGCTGGGACTGGAGTACCAAAATTGCAGAGAATCGTAGAATGGCTAGGGTTGGAAGGGACATTAAAGATGATCTAGTTCCAACCCCCCTGCCATGGGCAGGGACACCTTCCACTAGACCAGGTTGCTCAAGGCCACATCCAGCCTGGCCTTGAAGGATAGAAAGGGATGTTGAAGCTCTGGGTTTAGGAAGCTGGGTTTGTCTTGGCTCACACTTCAGGCTGAGGGATTCTGCTCCTCATTTAAATCCCTCTCATGCTTGCAAGCACAGCTGCATGCAAATGTAGTAGTGCAGCACAGTGGTAGCTACCCCACCTCTTCATGCCTGGGTGCGCTGTGCAGGGCTTCCCTGGAAGCGGGTGGGTTGTGTGAGTGGTGATGGCTCAGGGTGGCAAAGGAGGGTGGCAAAGTGAGCGGCAGAATAAACCCAAGCTTCTCTGCTGCTTTATCTTGTGAAATCCTCTGGCAGCTTCCCGGAGTTGAGAGGAGGTCTCTGGCCTTGCCAGACAACAAGTCAAGGGAGAAATGTGCTTCTCTTGGGCACCTGCAGGATCTTCCAACAGGCTCCTGAGAAGTCCCTGAGGTCCTGTTTGTCACCAAGGGTGAGGTTGCTGCTGAGCAGATAAGCTGTGTCCGGGGGGGCTGATTTTCAAGAGCCATTTCACTTGTGCACGTGCCTGTTGTCCTTCTCAGCAGCTGGGGACATCCCAAGGGCTGTGCACTTGGCTGGCAGTGTTGGAACCTCCCTCTGGTCTTTGGCCTCTGATCCATATCCAGCTGTTTGAGCCCAAGGGTGTTTGCAGATCCCGAGGGTTTCTCCTTGATGACATGTCAGGCCAGTTAAGAGGCCATCCTAGGGCTATTCCCCTGTTGTGTTATCAAACATCACCTCATCCCAGCCCCTCTGCTTCATAAGAACAGCTCTGGAAATGTATGCTGGTGTTTAATTTGTCTGAATATCATATGGGATGGTATCACAGAGGTGAGCAGCCCTGAGGAGAAGG